CTACAGTTCTGAGCTGGCCTTGGTAGGTAACAGTAAAACCTCTTTCGTGTGGATCTTGACTCCTGGCGACTTCAGAGTCTCGTCCACAGAGTGTTCCTGCCAGCAACATGGAAATTGTTTGCCATGACCTCCTTCCCAGATGGCTTCTGACTTCCCAAGGTAGCCTGTTCCCTCACAGTCTCCCATCAAACCACCCCGGTCCTGGCTAACTTCCAACCTTGTTGGCCAGATACTGTCACCTGCTGTGCAGCCATTAGCCAGTATGTAGCCACAACTCTTAGCTGCATAGCCATTAGCGCAGTGATGACACTGTAGTCATCAGGAGCCTGTCCTTCACGAGTGAGTCTGTGCTACTCTTGCACTCCCCAGTCCAAGAATAGGAAAAGAGACTGGCCAGGGGACTGCTCGTTTGCTATTCATTTACTGCCCAGCTCCAATTTTCCAGGACACACTGAAATGCACCCCAGGCTGGATTAAACTCTCTGCCCCCACCAGCCCCTTTCATAATCACTGGCCTCCAAGAGAAATATGTGTAGTACAGGTCTTATTTTTGGTTTTTACTTTCAAAACATCTGAGTTATTTTGGGGGGGGGGAGTCATATTTTTTCACAGGCCCTTTGGAGCCTTCTAGAACCCAAGTTCTGCTTTATTGTGCCCAGTGGATAATCCTGCTCTGAAGGCTGCTTTCTGAGAATTGGACAGAAGGTGGACTTTGCTGCATATTCAGAGGATGTTCCTACCCACCTTTGCAGAAATGAAGCTTGAAGGACTGGATCATGTCATGCCTGTTGGAGTGTCAGAGACCATTAGTCATGACCAATGACTTTAGTTTTTTGTCATTCATCCCTCGCGCTATTGCTCCACCAGTTCAATACTCCATCCATCCATCCATCCATCCATCCATCCATAGACTATCTGGGGCAAAGTTCTGTACGCTTTCAGATTTCTGTCCTCCAATAATCTTTACCTCCTTTATAGGTAGCCATGAGAAACTGACGCAGCTTCTCTCTTCCCCCACAAAGGAAATCCCTGCATTTCTACAGCCATTAGCAACAGTGAAAGCCCAATCTTCCTCCCCTTGTGTTGCAGGCTTTGTATGTTCAATTCTTTGCTTGGGTCCATCAGGGCAGAGAGGAGGGATGGTTTCTAGGGCTGCATGCCGCCCTTGGGCCCCAGGTTGCCAACACTGAGATCTAGGAACACCATTCAGAAGCTGCCCAGAAGCTCCAGAACAGCTCTCTTGGTGTCTGACTTGCCTCTTGACCAAATGACCAAAGGAAGGTCTCTGGGCGCATCGTCCTGTCCTGGTCCTATAGTCCAAAATCACCTCAATCATGTGCAATCCTCCATTTAATTTACTTTAAATATGTTGAATATCGATGTTCCCATGTCTACAAAAGAAAACCCTGGGCGATACTTCAATGGGGTGCGGGAAGGGTATGGGGTGATGTGAGAGATGGCTCTATCAATGTGCCTGTAGGCCAGTGTTTCTTAACTTGGCCACTTGAAGATGCGTGGACTAACTCCCAGAATTCTGGCTGGCTGGGGAATTCTGGGAGTTGAAGTCCACCCATCTTCAAGTGGCCAAGGTTGAGAAACACTGCTCTAAGGATATGGCTTCATGGCCGAGGCACAGAACAACTCAGCCAGGGGCGTGATGCATTTTTCGGCCAATACAAGGACAGAAGTACCCATTAACGGGGCTGTGAGATGGTGCCCTCTGATGAGCCGCAGATACAACTGGTTGTTCCTCCAGGCTGAAAGGAAAACATGAGAGCTGTTGATCAAGTATGACATTTCCCATTCAGAGCAACGTGAAACTCAGATAACGCTCAGTGGCAAAGATACGCAAAACTTCAGGAAATTCCAAAGGGGGGGTGAGTATTTTTCACGGAACGGCCATTTCTAGGTCTGGCTTCCAGAATGGCCTTCGTAGGATGGCATTTGGCCCTTGGCTGCAGACCTGCAGTGAATGTGTTAACTTCACATTTGGGAAGAGCGTTGCCTTTCGGAAGAAAAGCCCCAGAGCTGTCCAAGTTTAATAAAAGCGAAACGAAGCCCATTTGTTTGCCTTTTGTCAATATTTTCATAGCAACAAACAGATCAAATGCAAGATATTCCAGGGCTGTTTATTTTGTACATCCATTGGGCTTGGATACATTTAATTTCAAATGAATTCCCCGTGAATGGTTTGGCACAACAGATTTAAAACATCTTTGCAGTCCATTTTGCCTTTTGTGCTAGTAATGCAGTATTCTCCTCTGTAGGATTTTTTTAAAACAGATTTTTCTTAAAAGGATCCAAAGTTGCATCTATTTTCATTCACAGCTTTCCCCAACATTTTAAATGTTAATTTTTATGTTTCCTTTAAAGTATATACCATCACTTGATCTTGCTCACATTCTGTGCAGTGGCTTTCGAAACCGATTTACTGCATACCTTTGTCAAGAGCTACAAGACTCTTGCTGTTTGCTGCAACGGTGGCCGTCCTGCTCGGAAAAGGGAAGCAGGAAGCAATTACAGGAGAGGAAAGACGAGAATATAACCGAGAGGATCTGAGTTGGGCTGACTCTTGCAACAGGCAGAAAGGGGAGCCAAGGAAGTCCTCCCCAGGTGACTTCATGGACAAGGCCAGGTAGATTTCTCGGCAGCAACACCGAAGTGCTTACCCCTTGCCTTCTTCTGGGATTTTGTTCTTACTTCCCAGTATATTCTATGATTTCGTAGTGGTCTCCAATCCAAATACTATCGAGATCGGATCCTGCTTAATTTTTTGAGATTTTTCAGACCTCTACACACTATTTCAAACATTGCCTCTTGCTTCTTGAACTACTCGCCTCTCTCTTTTACTGGATCTCCTCAACTTTGTCCAGCCACAACATTCTCAACCTTCCCACCCATTCACCCTCTCACCATGTATTTGTTTTACTGAGTGACCTTCATTCATTCTCTCTATCCTAACAAGTCACTGCAAGGTTTCTTCTTCATCCTGGTCCCCCACTGTTGCACGTGGACCTCTTTCTTCAGCACCCGTTCGTTCCTGACCTTCTCTCTCCTTGTTTTACCATACACATTTCTTAACGCACCTCATTCCCAAAGCATTCAATTTACTTTCAGCTTTTTCCTGTCATGCCAAATGTCACTTTCATGTAAGACAATGGACAGAAGAAGGCTGTTATGGACAGTTCTCTTTGCTTCGCACCAGAAACATTTCTTCCTTGCAACACACCACAGAGCCCCAATGCGTTCTACCATCATTTGCGTGTCTTCACATTCCTCTGTTGGTATTGCCACCTTTAATAAACATTTTACCAAGGTCCACTAGGTATAATTTGCAATCATTTGATTCATTTTCCCAGTCAAACACAACTACCTTGGTTTCTGATACATTGATTTTTAGATCCAGATTCCTTATTATTACGTACAACCCAGCTAACGTTTGCTGCAAATTGCTTTGGTTCTCAGCTGACAACATAGTACCATCTGTGTACAACAGTACGTGTATATTTATCTTCCAAAACAGTACACCTGTAACACTGCCAGAAGCACATTTATCCATAAACCTATTAAAAACCAACAGGATACCCCACATCCATATATTGTTCCTTGCCCAAAGCCAAACCCTTCACTAAGCAGTCTAGGCTTCACTTCCAGTGCATTTCTTTCAGATTTGATGCTGTCCTTCGCTTATTTCATCCATGCCTAGCAAATTTAAGAAAGAAAGAAAGAAAGAAAGAAAGAAAGAAAGAAAGAAAGAAAGAAAGAAAGAAAGAAAGAAAGAAAGAAAGAAAGAAAGAAAGAAAGAAAGAAAGAAAAGAAAGCAACACACCTCCTCTTTTCTCTTTCGAAACAAAATATTCCTTCCCTAGAATCATAAATCTCTCCTAAGTTCACAATGACTTTCGTGCCTCACTGTATATTTTAGCCAGTTGAGGATCAAACACTTCATTGCAACCTTATGACCCAATAAATGTATGAATGATCAAGATCCCCTTAGATCTGGTTTCTCAACCTTGGCAACTTTAAGATGTGTGGACTTCAACTCCCAGAATTCCCCAGCCAGCCACGCTGGCT